ACCTTGGTCACATCCTGGCTGAAGGGAGGACACATTGGTTGTGTCCTGGATGAAGGGCACCTTGGTTATATCCTGGCTGAAGGAAGGGCACCTTGGTCGTGTCCTTGCTGAAGGGCACCTTGGTCACGTCCTGGCTGAAGGAAGGGCACCTTCGTCACGTGCACTTTGGGGTGACGATGGATAGACGTGCTGTCAACCCCTGCACTCACAGGGCTTGCGTGGGTAAATGCCAACAGATATTAGACCGACTGCATGTAGTGTTGCAGGTGAGACGCTCGCAGACCCTCTTCTCAAGGGGTGCTGCCATTTCCCCTCCCTCTAGCAATGACCACGGCCCTGGGAGCTCTGCAGCCTTGTCACGGTCCAGATTGCTGGTTTCTTGAGGGTTCCAGAAAGAAGTGGCCCTCAGCGTTCACTAGGTGTGGGGCAGTTCTCTGCCCTGTAGGGGCCCTGGGAGGTGGGGGGAACTCGATGGCCAGGGAGTTGTTTGTAACAGGTTTGTGGTAGACTCTAATTGCTGACGTTGGCAGCCTTGGGAGGATGGTGCAGACGCAGGCTGTGCTTCATTGTGCTGTGAAGGGTCTCGAGGGGTTGCTACGCATCACTCTAATGACAACAGTGACATGTAATGTTGTGACCAATGTTTGATCTTCAGTGGTTTGCCAGGAAAGGCTTAGAAATCCCCCATGATAGGACCTAGCACAATGCAACCTATTCCACAACGGAATCTTCTGTCAGCAGCCAATTAGGTGTGTGACTGGAGTGGAATGCGACCCCGTACTCAGGCCCCAGGGCTGATACCATGGAAAGGAAGTTGCCTTAGGGTGTGGTCTGCTTCTTCTATAAATGGGTGCTGTGAATACACTGTTTGCTGTCTGCTGGGTCTGGTCCTTGCATGGGGCTCATCATCCTTTGGTTCTTTGGACTTGAGCGTCAGCCTGTCATTTTGTCAGTGGATCCTGGGAGCCATCATCAGCCGGCTATAGTGCCTGCTGATCCTGGGAGCTGTCATCAGTGGCCTGCCAAAACTGACCAGCCAACCTTGGATTCATGTGCCTGAGGCTGGAGGCCTTTCATCTTCCTGCTGATCTTGAGTTCATCAGCCTAGCCTATGAGCCTCTTTCTGTGGGCGTGTTGTCCATTTGGACACCCCCCC